CCAAGCCCTGTCCAACCTGGCCTTGGACACTTCCAGGGATCCAGGGGCAGCCACAGCTTCTCTGGGCAACCTGTGCCAGGGCCTCCCCACCCTCACAGGGAGGAATTCCTTCCCAGTATCCCATCTAACCCTGCCCTCTGGCAGGGGGAAGCCATTCCCCCTTATCTTGGCACTCCAGGCCCTTGGAAATAGGATTTCCATGTTTCTTGCAGGCTCCCTTCAGGCCCTGGAAGGCCACAATCAGGTCACCCCAAAGCTTCCCCTCTCCAGGTTGAACAATCCCAACCCTCCCAGCCTTTCCTCCCAGCAGAGCTGCTCCAGCCCTCTGATCCTCTTGGGGCCTCCTCTGGACTGGTTCTAGCAGCTCCATGTCCTTGTTGTGCTGTTCCCAGGGCTGGAGGCAGCTCTGCAGGGGGGTCTCACTGAGCAGGGCACAGGGTCTGTTGCATCCCTGACTGAAGTTGGGGGAAAACAACTGATTAATAATGCAGCTTCCCAAAGGGCACAAGCTCCAGGAGAGCTGCCCTCACAGCCTGTGGCTCCTGGGCTGCAGCCCCAGAGGATGCCCACATACCCCAAAAGCTCAGCCCCTCAGTTTGAACACAGCTCTGCTGATTGCAGAGACACCAGACAGAAACCAGAGAGCAAAACAATATTAGAGCTCAGTGAGATGGTGAATCCAAATAAACAAGACATTTTGAACTATTTCCAGCATGACTTCAGCACAAAATAACATTTGCACGTCAATGTAATAGTTGATGTTTTAACTGCATGCTAAGGGAACAGTCACGTACAGCATCAGCTGCTCAGCCTTCAAAGGGAGCAAAAAGAGCTGCAAAAGAGCTGTGCTGTAGTTCAAAGCCTTTCAAATAAAGGCTAAATTCATTTACATTGAATCCTCAAGCACTTGAACCCAAGTAGAGCACGGCCTGTCCCATCCCCAGACATCCTGGGGAGGTGACAGTGACACTTGAAAAGAGTCGGGATGGCACCAACCATCAAATCCCAACTGAAGCCTCATGTCTGCGAGACTCCAGGGGTAAAAATGAAGCCAAGGCCAAAAGGAGCACAAGCCAAGAGGATGCAAAGCAAGAGGGAAAACCCATTTTGTCTTTGAAGCCCTGTGAGGACCAGTGAGCACACCCTGACGGGAAATCCTATTAACTGGGGCCCCTAAGCTATGAATCAACCTCAGAGTCAGCCTGGGCAGCCTCGGGACAAAGGAACAATCATCTGCTAATTCAGGGGACAAAGCTGAAAAGGGAAGGTTCCTTCTTCAGGTTAAGGATTAATCATCATCAGGTACAGCCTATTTGCTTTAAGTGCAGTCACTTCCTGCCAGCACATCCCTGCCTTTTCCAAGAAACAGGGGAGCAGCTCCGTGTCTGAAGGCAAATGAATCAGGAGACAAGATTGAAATGATCAACAGCAGCCCGTGTCTGAAGGCAAATGAATCAGGAGACAAGATTGAAATGATCAACAGCACCCAGAACCAGCCAAGCTATTTAATAAGCAGCTAGGAAATGTACCAAAATCCAACACAATCAAGCCAACAAACTGAACACAGGGAACACACAGTCTTTGCTCCAAAATTCCATTAGACTTTTAGGTTTGGGTAAGCGCCACGTCCAGTCCTTCTCTGGACACCTCCAGGGATGGGGACTCCACCACCTCCCTGGGCAGCCCCTGCCAAGGCTTGACAACCTTTTCCAGGAAGAAATTCTTCCTGATGTCCAAGCTGAAGGCTGGTAGGAGTCCAACAGGAGCTGAGGAGGATGCCCATGGTTTCTCAGAGTGTGAGGATAAAGCCAGCAGCAGGTTGGCCAGGTAGTGCTGGAAAAGGTCTTCCCAGTTGTGTGCAGAGGGGGAATAAGGCAGTGCTTCCACTGGGATACTTCAACCTGTCCCCTCGAGGGGCCTCCTCAGTCAGCAGCAGCTTCAAGCTCAGGCTTGAAGCTAAGCAAAGGTATCACTCAAAAAGTCAATGTCACAATGAACTCAAGGCCTACAGGACACAGAAACACTCTGCAGTCACATTCAGTTCTGTACATGATTCATATATTCCCCCCCAAAGGTGTTTATCCATGCACAAGACAACACCCAGAAACCAGTCACCACTTTTAACAAGATTATTTGACATTTCCCAGGGTGCTGGTTTTTTGGTGGTGGTGGGTATTGGGGATTTTTTTGGTGGTGATTTTTTTGTTCCTTTTCTTTTTAAACATCTGCTCTAGCGAACTGCTGCCCATTTAATTGGGAAATCTGACTACTGAGTAAGTCTGCACTGGAATTTACTTTTAACCATTCCAAGCCCTTGCTGCATTCACACACATTTCTATTTCTGCACAAGCAACTTAAGCACCAATACTTTCAAAAGACAGCACAAGCACCGAGGCCCTGTTCCCGTGGAGCTAAATTTGGGAGGTATAAGCACACCTGACTGTAACAAGCTTAAACAAAAATCACTGAGACACAGGAACTGAGTTCCAGGCACAAACCACTGCTTTGCAGTGCTCTGTCTGCTTTACACAGCCACTGTTACCCTGTGATTACACAGCAATCAGTGCCTGCTTTGCTCTCTGAGCCCTGGGTTTCTGCTTCAGAGCCACTGAAATTTAAGTTTTAAGAGAGAATTCAGCAAGCAGCTCTAGCAAGCACATTCTGTGCCAGGAGAAGGATGAGTATATTTATATAACAAAAGGCTTCCTGGATTATTTTAAGGCTTGAGTTTTGCAAAGCGAACAATTGAGGAAAGGGATGTTTTTCCTTTGTTTAAAAAAATAATACTCGTACCAAGAAGAAAGACAGAAAGAAAGGGGAAAAAAAAAGCCATTGAAAAGGCAGCAGTGTCTTGATATTCTACTATTTGAGATCCCTGCATCTCAGCAAAGAGTCATCCATGTGCTTTGTAACCCTGAGTCCAGAACATATGTTGCTGAATACTGAGATAAATACACAAAAATCAGAGGTCCCAGACACCAAGGCACCAGCAAGTGAAAATCTGCACATAAATGACAACCTGTGCCACAGAATTACAGTATCACTAAGGTTGGAGGAGACCTCTGAGATCCTGGAGCTCACCCTGTGCCCGATGCCCACCTTGTCCCCCAGCCCAGAGCACTGAGTGCCACGGCCAGGCCTTCCTGGGACACCTCCAGGGATGGGCACTCCAGACCTCCCTGGGCAGCCCCTGCCAAGGCCTGACCACCCTTTCCAGCAACAAATTCCTCCTCCTGGCCAACCTGAGCCTCCCCTGGCACAGCCTGAGGCCGTTCCCTCTCCTCCTGTCCCTTGTTCCCTGGGAGCAGAGCCCGACCCCCCCCGGCTCCCCCCTCCTGTCAGGGACTTGCAGAGCCAGAAGGTCCCCCCTGAGCCTCCTTTTCTCCAGGCTGAGCCCCCCCAGCTCCCTCAGCCGCTCCTGCTGCTCCAGCCCCTTCCCAGCTCCGTTCCCTTCCCTGCACACGCTCCAGCCCCTCCGGGTCTCTCCAGGGGGACAATCCCTGCCCTGGCCAAAGGGCACAACCCAACAACACGGACCCCACAACATTCACTTGGAATCTTTTCCAAAGCAGTCTCTTGCACTGCACCTGTTGATGTTCAACCCCGATTAAACCTGCATTAAACTTTAAGTAACAGATCACTCCATTATTCACCATGTCTGTGTATTGGTGCAGAGCAAGCAGGAGCTGAACCAACGCAGTGACAGCAGCTTCTGGTGTCTGCTAAAAGCATCTTCTGCTCTTAATATTGATGTAGCTGAAGGAGGGTGGGGAAAACACGAATTTTGCATGACTGCTTAAAACAAGCCTAAATATTACAGTTTGTCTTGAACCACTATGACACAGGTGCAGCTTTCAGGAAGCAACAGCTCCAAAAACCTGCTCAGACCAATTCACCTGACCTGCAACAGGCAAAAAAACCCAGTTCCCTCAATTTTAGCGGCGCTGATGTTCAGCCACAGCATTTTTCTCACTATTTTTGGTGGTATTTCTGTGGAAAAGCCACTCAACATCTTGATTAATCAACCCATGAGATCCAGATACATGGAGCCCTGGGACAGTGACAGGAGAGGGGCTAAAACCAACTTTTCCAAAAAACAAATTTGCTCAGGGCACCACAGGAAAAAAAATCACAACTGCATCAGGAACAATCACAACTGAAAGCTGCTTTTCTGCTCTGTCTCTCACCACAGCCTCTCAGAATCAGCCAGTTCAGGTTTATTAATATTCCAAAACACTCAGGGGAAAAGGCAACAGCTTTCCCAACTAGGAATGGGAGGCACAAGGGACTTTGTTCACTCAGTGTGCTGGTCACTGGTCACACAAACCAATAACAGCTTTTAAAACACATTCCTTCTCAAAATTTCTATGCCCAGTAGCTCCACTTTTATTTTCTGATTTTTACTACAGCTCTTCAATCGGTCACAGGGCTTTCCCAGTAAGGATCAAACCCAACAAAACCACGACAAATCTTATGAGATGCCTTTCAGAAAATCCTCACACAGCTTCAAAGGATTATTAAAAGAGAAAAACATAACTACATGCAGCAAGACAGGGCATACACCCCATTTATTTTATCTTTGCAGGTCATTCATCTACGTCAAAGCCAGACCTGGGAATGGAAAACAGGTATTCCAGCCACCAGTCTGGTTCTCTATCCAGTATATCACTCCAGTTTCAACAGCCAAAGGGGCAAAGATTTCCTTATAAGTAGGGTTTGGGGAGCATTTATCCACAACCTACATCTTCTCAAGTTTTGCTCTTAGTTATCTTTACCTGGAAGCAGGAAAAAGGAACCAATCTAAGTGATCTTTCCATTGCCTTTCCCTAAGATTTTACAATTTAATACCGGAGTGTGACGGCCTGTGTCATATCCAAAAGGAAATGGATATCTGCCCACCCAAACCAAGAACTTGCCCAAACTCAGGTCACAGTAAACAAAGTACTGAACAAACACACCAAAAACACACGTGCTTGAAAATGCAAAGCTCATTTACTCACCTGGAATTGCTTTTCTACCCAGGGCACTCGATGCATCAGGTCAGAACTCGTTATGAACGTGAGAGTCGAAGCTCAGGAGACCTGCTGCTGGCTGCTTCTCCCAGAGGCACGAGAGTCACTGTTAAAAAACCCCAAACAAATAAAAATAAGGACATGTTAGGAAGCAGAGCTGGCAGCAAGCCTTCATCAAAGCATCAGCAGTTGTCACAGTGTGAAGATGACTTCAAGGTCCACTGATAGCTGGGATATACAGGAAAGACCACAGATGGTTTGGGTTGGAAGGGATTTTAAAGATCATCCAGCTCCAACCCTGCAAAGACACCTTCCACTAGACCAGGTTTGCTTCAAGTCCCATCCAACCTGGCCTTGAGCACTTCCAGAGAAAGACATAATTTTAAAAATAGTATTTCCCAAAGGACTACCCAGTAATAAAGAAGATCCTTGTGTCCAAACAGGTCTACAAGCAGCTTTCTTTGGGTCTGAAGGAGGGCTGAGGTGCTTCTCATTCCACTCAGTGGCATCCACTACTCTCCACACACACCAGGCTTCCCACAGAAGTCTGTCTTGGATATAGGCTCATTTTCCTGCCAGCCTATACCTGGCAAGAGTGGTTTGGATGGAACACCACCCCAGGAACAATGTGGAAAATGGAGCTATAAGAAACGGGCCACTGACCCCCTGATGTGGCTTCTGCTCCCACAACGGAGCAGAAGCATCTACAACATCCAGAGCACCTTCTCCTTCACTAAAGGAACAATCCAGCAGAACTCCTGGGACACACACTGCCCCATGGAGCATAAACTGAAGGAATAAACCTCAAGGTGTGTTTGAAGGGAGCTGATGAAATCACCCTGGCTCTGAACACAAGATGTTTTGCTGACAAATAAGCTGATGCAGGGGGAGTGAAGGAGGAAGGTTGAACGCCTTTCCTGACAGTCTTCAAGATAACCAAGATCATTCACAAAAGAGAAGAAGCACCTTCACTGAAGCAAACCCAAAAACTAAAAACCAAAATGCACAGGGCCAAAATCCTCAGGTGGCAGCACCCAAGGAACAGGTTTCCTTCCACCCCTGTTACCTCTTGCACAGCTAAACAGAGCCAGCAGCAGCACAGAAACCACTCCATCCTGCCACTGGGAAGCAAATCCACTCGCCATCCAACCCCTCCAGCTTCCAAGAGAGACAAAACCAGGACAGAAATTCAGAAAAGAACCAACCCCTTGCACTCTGTAGGGTTCTTCCAATTAAACCTTTACTTTCAGATAAGGGAAATCCAGAAGGTCTCCCTGCTCCATTCACATTAGCTAGAAAAGTGCAATTCATCCATTCCCATTCAAACCCTAGTTGGGGAGGGAGGGGGAATAAATAACTCTCATTGTGCTTGCTGAAATAGAACCAAATCCAACTGAGTGGCTGCCAGGAAGCAGGCAGCTGGAAGCACGGCGGTCCTGCTTTCCCGGACTCCTTCTTAGCTATGTTTAGGATTAATTGGAAATTTGCTTTTGGGTTTTGCTCTGCAATCTTGCCTCATCTTCGAGATTAACCCATCCAAGTGCTTCGGGAAGGGTGACACCAGGTGCACCCCCCAGCCAGACGGCTCGTCTGTGCTCCAGGCTGGAAGTCAAACAGCTTTTGTCCATGGGGATGGAGCCAGGGCACACTGCCAGCGGATGAGCCGGGCACTGAGAGCCCTGCTGTCCTCCTGCAGCACTGCAGTAACATAGGCTAGTGTTGATAGAACCCAAGAGGAGTTACCCATCCCATGAACACCCACTAGCAAGTCTTCAGGACACGGGAAGGCCCCGTTTCCATCAGTGACTGGCTCTTATCTCCCAACAGCAGCTGCCCTCCCAAACACGTCACGTTCACTCACCCACCAAGTTTCCTGAACCCCCCCAAAAAACCACCCACGTGCCAAGAGCGTGACCCAAGGGAAAACCGGCCTGCTGTACCCCTCCCTGCACCCAGAGGGGATGCTCCAAACCCTGCATGCCCAGTATTCTAAGAAGGACAGTTCCCCCATTCCAAGAGATGCCGGAGCACAAACTGGCGCTCAGACGTGAACACCCACCCGGGATGAGCGAGTCATGAATCAGCTCGTGCTGCTGAGCACCACGAGATGCTCCACCCCAGCTGCAGCCTCTTCCTCTCCCTACAGAGCCACACAGACCCTGTAAGGACACGTTTCCTGCCACAGCCACAATTATTTCTGGGCCAGTTAGAAGCCAGGAGAAGGAATTCACGCTGACAGTTGGCTCTGGGTACTACCAGTTCCGCTGATAGCAGGGCTGTGTGGCAAGGTTTGATTAGAGCTCATTCTTATCTTTCCTGTGGCATGCACAGCACTGCCTTGTATTATTTGACAAACTCTGACATTTTTGTTATATATTTCTCAGAAAATAAAAGGTCTGTCTTACCCAAATCAATGAGCCAAACTCCTCCATCCTGAGGAAGACCCTTCTGTTTGCACAGTACTGACTGCTGCTCTGCTGGGGTATGAGCTGCCAAGTTCAGGGCCCTGTTTCCTTAAACTGTTAATATCCTTGTGGAAATAGTTCAGTTTCTGGAGTTGCTAAGCAATCAGGAGCCAGAACAGCACGAGAGAAACCCGGATCTATTTTAGCATCTAACGTGACAACGCTCAGCTCTGTCTGTGCCACCACTCGTTCTGACAGCCACAGAAGCAGAAGCACCAGCTAAGAAGAAATTCTGAAGGTTTTGATGCTATGAAGATTAATGACTGAAGTTACTTGCCAGCCTCGTTCTCTGTGTCACAACACAGCCAAGAACTACCAGTCAATAGGACTCAAACACCCTCTAGAACATCGCTGGCTTAGTCACAAAATATTCACCATTTTACAACACCTGATCTAATAAACTCAGCCTGGAGCAGGCTCAGAGTTGAAGCTGTATCTCTGACTAATGCATTTGAAGAGATTACAGCCAGTGGAAACCTGTAGGATTTCCAGAAAGAGCACATGATTCCTTTATTAATAAGTCAGATGTTTTCCAGGTGAATGCCACCCCCCGTATTATCCACATAGTTTAGGAGAGTTAAGTGGCCACATCTGAGTGCTGAGGGCCACTCTGGGAGACTTGACAGAAGTGAAACTCTCTCCCTGATGCTCTCTCTGTCTGTCCATCAGCATAGACATCTTTTCCTTCCCGCTTCACACATTCTTTCAAGTAGCAACAGTAGGCTGCTGTCTTACTTTCTCACCCAGTACAACCAGCAAGGATCAGGAATGCCTGTGAAGGCTGGATTAAGCAGCTCATGACTGCTTCTTTGACAAGGCACATCGATGATGAGCGGAGCATTTTCACCTCACACCCTGGCACAGAGTATTTCCACATTTCACCAGCTCTTTTTTTTTTCCCCCCCACCATGTTTGCTTTGCCTTTGCCAGACTAAAGTACTCCTTAAAATGCTCTGGAGAAATTCAACCTGTATAGATCATTGTTCACCGACCCAGTTCACTTGTGGATTAAAGAAATCAAACTAATTGATTTAGAGACGACGTAAGGGATTTTGAGAGAACACTCAGCCCATGTCTGAGATGTCACTTTAATCCTCACAGTTAATTCTTTAAGCATAGGAAGCCATTTAAATTTGTAATGCAGTTCTTACATAAAAAAACATCTCCACAGGCCTGCTAATCACGGAACTATCTTGCAAATTGATCCTAATCTACAGCTGCTTGTGTCTGCACTCTTCCTGTGGAGAATATAAAATCATGCAGCCAATGGACACGTGAAAGGGTCTGCAAGGAAACAGTGACCCTCATTTGGTTCATGCACATCTGCAGCAGGGAACCACTAAACACCACTCTCCCCACCAGCTTTTGCTCTTATATTTAAGAGTGACTTCCATTTTGGAGTTTTGTCTTTAACTGTAAAAAAGCAGAATATTCTCAGCTCTCATTTCCAGTTTTGGAAGACTCGGAGACAACTCCCTCTGCCAGACACACCACATTTTTAACCAGAGACATCCCTTCCATCTTTCCTGCATGGAAAGCTGCTAGCAAACCTGCCAGCAAACTGCAAACTCATTCCTTGTGTCCCAAACTGTGATAAAACTCATCACCACAATCTACAGCAACACAATTACATGAATCAGCAAGATTTGTTCATGGGATTAGTTTTTGTTTGGTTGGTTTTGTAGGATCTGAGTGACCTGACCTCTCCAGCAGGAGACTGAGTTTTTCCCTGCTTCCAAAATAATCATTCCTCTTCTCAGATCTCCTCCCCACCTTCTTCTTGTTCATCCTTCCAAGAAAACACCTTGCAGGACACACTCTTCTCCACAAATGAGGCCCCAACACGAGACACTTGGAAACCTTTGCACGACGTGGATGCCAGGACCCTGAGAAGTGACACACTGATATTTTCAACTGTCCCCAAAGGGTCAGATGCTCAGTTTTCCAGATTAACCTGAAAATACTCAGAAGAGGAAAAGCTTAGTTAATTCTAAAGAAGCAAGTTATGACTAGGCTAGAAAGCATTAATAATATGAAATACTGTGAGAAGCTGCAGTGTAAGGTCCTTGCCACGATATTTGCAGTCAGACCTATCTACATAAAAATCCAAGGTCTGATCATTTGGATATATTAGGGATAAGGAATGCAGGGTATGACCAGAGTACAGACCTTGGTGTGCTCTTGGAACAGGCAACACCACCAGTGTTTGGTGTTCACCACCAACAGAAACTACTTCAAATTGCTTACTACACTGCTTATTTTCACCCATCAAACTGGGGTTTGGCCTCTCATGGATCATCTTCCACTGGCTGGTCCCTCTTCTGGCTTTGCAGGAGCTGGAGGAGAACGGGATGAAAGCTGAGGACTCCGTGACAAGCACAGCCTACGTGCTTCTGCTAAAGGGATGGAGACAGGAATGGTTCACCTTGACCTGCAACACACCACACATCAGAATTCCCACTATATTTAAATACACGGCTTCACTCCCAAAAGCCTTCCTGTCAAATTATCCTGTGATTTGGAAACAAGCCACAGCAGTTTAAACTCAGCTCTTCCCATTGTGCAAGTGCTTTGAAACAACAGAGACCCGCCTCTGCCAGCCCCTGGAACAGGGAACAGCTGAGCCTAAGCCATTCCAAAGACAGAAATCCCAAGGATTGCTCTGGAAAAAGCAATTCATGGACCAGAGAGCTGAGAAACTGTATTTCTCAAATGTAAGATTTATTTTTTTTTTTTTAGTTTTTAACATGAAGACAACCACAAGTATGAGACTTCACCGGGTGGAACATGATTCCTTCAGAGCAGAGGTGTGATGGCCTGGGAAAAAGGGGAGACCAGGACAGATGCAGATCCCAAAGGGAGGATGGGAAGAACAGAGAGACAGAAATTTATAGAAGTAGCTTCTCTGAGTTCTTAAAATATCATTCAATACTTTCCTCTTCTAAACAGAAGATTTGCAAGATAATTATACTGATATCAGACCCAGGCATGCAGTGCTTGGGCAGCTGTTATATCTTAACCTTTTCCAAAACTTCAAACACGGGCTGGAGACTGGGAAAAGGGAAGGTACCACTCCTGCAGCATCCCTGGGCTGGAATCAGCACGCCCAAGACCAGGGATTACTTTTCACAGATTCCCTGTGGTGCTGCCATCACTCAACAAGAAGCCTGGCATTTCCCTCCACCATCACAACCCTCAAAGCCAGTCACCCCAAGCTTCAGGGCTTTTATTTTTATTATAACCACATTAAAAAAAATAATAAAAATTGTTTAAAAAAATTTAAAACAAGCAAAAAAAGCCACTACCCAAAAAAACAACCCTCAAAGCTGCTTTGCTACATCACTTATATCAATATGTAAAAGCAGCTAAACTGCTCTGTATCTGTTTTCCTCCCTCAGCTCTCACTCATTCCCAGACAGCAGGTTCCAATCCACAGGCTGGGAACACTTTCCCCTCTGTAATAACACGTGGGAGATGTTTTAGAAACCCTTTACTGTGAAACAACAAACACCAGAAATGTGTTTTTCCTCTGGAAGCAAAGCTATACAGAAACAGACTTTATCTCAGCACGTTCCTCTGATTTTCAGTTCCTGAGATTTTCAAGCACATTTCTAGGGGTTCCTACTTAACGACCCAGCAACATTCTGGGGAAACTGGGAGGAGAAAAACTGCTGCAAACTGCTCCACAAATTAAACAATAATACTCTGGTTATGGATGCCAGCAATTTTTCATACAAGAAATGGCTTGGAATGTGATATGCCAATCAAAATGAACATTTAGATATGACATGCTGCCCCACTGCATCCCACTCCTGACCCTCAGCTCTGTAGAGCTCCTTGTTCCCACTGCAGCATTCCTGCTGCATTCCACTGCCAGGGGAAAGGATGCCTGTAAGCAGCTTATACAGATGCTTTGTTTATCCAAAAATATTTAAGCTCCAAGAAACATTAGAGCAAGACACAGATTTCAGCATTTGCACAGTAAAGAACTGCAACTCCTACAGATATTGCCAGAGACTTTCTTCCTTAAGGTCCTCCAGCTAGAAAGGACTATTTTGCTAAAGCAAAGCTACAGACAAAAAGCAAAGTGTACTCTCTTAGTGATGGGCTGCAAAGGGTTGTTACAGCAACGCTGAAGGAAGCAAAGGTGTCCTTTCACTCCTTCGCATTTGTTCAGAGCAGATCACGGATTATTCAGGAGGGATACCCAAAACTTACAGGGTCTTCCCCGGTAAGCAGGCTCGGAAAACTCCTGTGAAAGGGAACTTCCCCGGCAGCCTGTCCCACAATTCCCCTGGCAGCAGGGAAATGCAGCCAGCAGATCCCCTGCTCTGCTGGAGTCTTGCAGTCACACCCACCTTAAGACACAACTGTGTCCCAAGCACTTGTTGGTTAAGACAAGAGGAATTATCCACAGCCAATCACTATTCAGCACATCCCAGTTATCCCAGCGGTACAGAACTGGAAGACAGGAATACCAAGACTGTTATTGCTTAAAAGTGGCAAAGCAGCAGCCCATTTTTCTTCTCATTTGAAGACAGTGCTGCAGACATGATCCCTGTTTGAGGAGAGTAAATTAAACGTGCTGGACCCTCTTCCTAAGGCCAGGATACTGAGCTTGAGGAATTTTTTTGGAGGGGGTGGAGACAGTTATCTGGTTATCTCCCACTCTGCTGGTTCTGCAGCAGTTATCAACTAGTGCATCTTCCTGTCCAGTCTCCTTATCTATCTCTGCAGGCTCAGCATGCCACAGCTCCAGGTCCAGCTTTTCCAGGGATATGGTTTTGTTGTTATCTCCTGCCAGGAAATTCCCAACCAGAAGCTGGTTCTGCACCAGTTCCTCACTTCCATGAACTGCCTAATCAATCAACTGACTTATCTCAAACTACACTGGGAAAGTAGAATCAACCAAATACAAACAGAAAAAAGCCACGGAGACCTTCACTTACTCCTGCTGCCTTCCAGGATGGAATGTGTCTGGTGTGGTCAGAGACCTCAGACAAACAGAGCTGCAAGTAGTGAAACCCAGACAATCCAATACACCAAGAAAACTCCAAAGAAAGTAAAGTTGGAATAAACTTTGGTCAACTCCCCGCTTACCCTCCATGAGGTTAACTTCAGCCCTACAAGACTGTTTTTCAAGCCCAGCCTTGTACACCACCTAAATATAAGATTACTAGGTGAGGCTCAAGAGTTTAAACAGAAGTAAACCTATCACAGGTCCCTGATGAGACCCATGAAATAATGAGAAATAATCCCAGCTTGGATGTGAGAACACAAGTAACTTCAGTTCTTGCTTTAAAAAGCCAAAAAGTGCATTATTGTTCCATATGGAAGAAGTGGCAAGATCAAGATGGGACCAAGGAGGGACTGTTGGGGTGTCCTGTGCAAGGCCAGGAGTTGGACTGACAATCCTTGTGGCTCCCTTCAACTCGGGATATTCCAAGATTTTAAACCAAACAGACTTTATTTTCCTGTTTTTAATTACACCAGGGAGGAAGGCAGTTACACCAGGGATATTAAGTGCCAAGACTCGTCGTTTTGCCTCACTGCAACCCACAAACCCACCTGCAGCACTTCCTGAGGCACGAGCTACAAAAGCAGCAAGTCACACAAGCTTTGCAAGTCTTAGACTAAGGGAAATTAAAAAAAAAAAAAACTACAAAGAAAGAAAAGGACTGTACTGCACCTTTGAAAGCATGGGAGGGGCAGAGAGGCAGCCTTGTCACACAGCACCTCCAGCTTTCACAGGGCCCCAGAAACCTTGACAAATGAGATCTGTCTGTCTGTCTCCAAAGACACACAGTGAAGCAGCACCAGAGCTGGAAAGAACTTCAAACTCAAAGCCCCAGAGATTTCAGTCCTGGCTGCCCAGACAGTGCAAAGAGCAACAGGCGAAGCTGCCTTGTATCCTTGGATTTACATGTCAATACTAAAGCAGACAAAGAGGATGCAACACAAGTGACTTTCAGCCTCCCTGACAGACCAAACCACCACTGCCAGTGCTCTTCCAGTGGTTTAAACTGGTGACAGAACAGCTCCTGGCCACCTCACCAGAGACCCTGTCAAGTACTGCAGAAGAGGGCAGCACAGAAAATAAACCTATTCCCTTCACTTCCAGAGACTTACAAGGGTTATCCTCACCTCAGTGAAATTGTAACAACATTTTGCCTTCTTCAAATACTTTTTTTTTTTTTTAATTTGGAGTCTGGTTTAAGAGTAGGCCAGAGAGCAGGGGAGCATTAGCTCAGTGTCAGCTGGGTGATGACAGCCTGCACCACTCAGGGTTTCACTGACCAGCAGAAATTCTCTCAGCACAGGGCAGACACACAGTAATGACACATGAAATCACTCATGCTATCTTGTTTCCCACTCCTCTGCACAACACAGCCTATTTTTAGATTATAACTTCTGATGCAGGAGGGAAGCAAAAGATGGGCACAGGCACAACAGCTGCAAGTTAAGTCAGAAACACCAAGGAGGAGACATTTCCACTCCATGTTTTGTTACAACAGCTACCCCTTCACCTCACATTCAGCATCTCTGGAGTCACAGCAGCAAGATTTTTCCTGGCACGTGGATGTCACCTTCACACCTGGTTTCCCCACAGTCACAAGCTGCTTACAAAGAGCCTGTCACCATCCCAAAAACTGCCTCCCAAAGGGAAGGTTCAGGTTGGACATCAGGAGGAATTTCTTCATGGAAAGAATGATCAAATATTGGCAGGGGCTGCCCAGGGAGGTTTGGAGTGCCCATCCCTGGAGGTGTCCCAGGAAGGCCTGGCCGTGGCACTCAGTGCTCTGGGCTGGGGGACAAGGTGGGCACTGGGAACAGAGGGGACTCAAGGATCTCAGAAATCTTTTCCAACCTAAATGTTTCTGTGATCCTTGTGAACCAGAGCAAACACTGCTTTTTTGCCTCGTTTCATAGAGAAAAACAGAATTGAACGAGTGGGTCAGGTACAGAGGAGGAATTTTGAGCAGGTGACTCCTGAGTGGTGTGAGAATCTAGAAGTTAGTGAAGCTCTTTTTTAAGTTTCTTCCTCCCTTCTTTCATAGTGAGGCCTTTTATTTTTTTAGCATAGCAAGCACATCTCACAAACCTCTCACAGCCACTTAAAGGCAGGGTTTAGTGGAGCTGAAGTGAGGCAGCCTATCCATCAGCTATTTCCCTGAAATTTCAGCTGTTACACTGGAATTGTCTCCCATCTTGCTTTTTGCTAATTCTGTCAGTGCCACAGCCATCCATGGGTAGCAGGAGGAAGGCAGATGAGCTCACCAGAGCAGCACAACCAGGTAATGGCCCAGTAATTCAATCCACATCCACCCTCTGGGAGTATTGGATTCCAAGCTGGGTCTGCTCAGGAGCTTTGGGACCCAGCTGAGGTGCAGCCTGCTCCCCAATTCCACACACCAGGCCTATTCCTTGGGTCTCCAGAGGCCAAGCAGGCAGAGGCTCTGCTCTCAGTGTGCTGGGAGTGGTTTATTCCCTCTCGGCTGTAAAACACAGCAATTCAGCAGCAAAGCCCCATCAGTGCACCCCAAAGTCCCTGCTGTCACCTGCCCCACACCCCAAATTCAGCAGGACTGTTCTCCTGCAACACTGGCTTGAGCCTCCCGGGAAAAGAGACTCTTCCAGCCACTGCAACGAAGGAATAAATGAGACACTCGCACAGAAATGCACTGAGGACAAAGAATTCAAGCTGGATTCGCACTTGACTAATTGGCTGCAAGTAAAAGTCAAGTTACAAGATGTACCTGTGCGAATCACATGTGTTTAACTAGGAAGAAAACAACGTATAAAAATGGCTAATGGGCAGCAGCTGCTCTGTATTAAACATCAATCCGTGCCTAGTGTGATGCAAATTATCTTCAAAACTCAGGAAGATATTTTAAATAGGCTTAACACACCAACAATCGGGCAGCAGATGACTTGCTAAGTGCAGGGGGGAATTGAGGGTCATCTCTGTTGGAGAGCAGCACGACGTGTCCATAAATAAACTAACTCAAAACAAGGACAGCTGAGCCCTAAGGAAGCAAAACAAAATTAAATAAACGGAAACTTCCAGCTACAAAAGTTATTTCAACTTTCAAAGGTTCCCATAGTTCGCAGAAGAAATTGTTCCATGTACTTAAACTTTTCTACTTCTTGTCTTGGCCTAAAAGTCATCAACTTCTTGGGAAAGGAATTTAACTTGGAAAAGGAATTTTCTGGACCACACACTCTTGCAAGGCTACAGTAATTGCTTTTTAATCTTGTTTCTTCTGGGCATTGCTGCAACAACCATCCTATGCGGTTAAACAAACCACAAGGGATGGTCACCTCCCAGCTTGGGGAAATGATAGTCGGTATTCACGTAGAAATTCCATGTAAAAAAAAAAGATAACCTTCCAGAGTTTCCTTTTGAGAGCGCTCTGTTGGCTAAGCCTGTGCCTCAAGGCAGAGCAAAGCCCTTCAGGACAGCAAAGCTGGCCAGTGCAGCTGGGAGAGGCACTTTTAGGCTCCCTGCAAAGCCTCAGCTATCCCACAGCAGGCGCTCTCCCAGAAGCAACAGCTCAATACCGAGAATTGCCACCAACCCACCTAACAAATACACACTTCCAGTTTAAATATATTCACATTCTGATTAACCCTGACCACACAAGATTTGCAGCAGCCCTTCCGCTGCACAAGCCAAGGCAGGGGAAGGCACACGGACTCTTTCAGATGAAGGAGCTGCCACATCCTGGTATTGTCATCACCATTCTTTTAAAACCCTCTGGCCCTAAAGCCACAAGTGTGACCGACTTAGTTGTGACCTGCATGAGCAGCTCATGCTCATCCATTAGCCCTCAGTCTCCCCATTCCCACCTCAGTGCTCTGAACACTTTGTCTGGACAAGTTTGGCAGCGGGGTCAGGATTCCAGCAGGAGCCACCTTCCCCTTTTCCTTCTCACGCTTTCTGTGGCAAATTTTAACGCCACACCCCATTACCAACCTGCGGTTTTTGAAGGACAACACCAGTTCCCGCAAGAAACCAAAGTGCAGGATTGGAGGGGGAGGGAGGAATTCCCTGCTGGGGGATGCTCCTGTTAGAAACGCTAGGATGGGAGTCTGAAAGCTGCACCCGGACACATGTGAGGGACAGCTCATCTCTTCCAAACAAGTTTGTGAACGAGGAACACACCACTGGCTTTTGCACTGCTTCCCCTCCTGAGAGGCCACCTCCTGTAACGCATCCGTTACTCAAGTTTTCCGTTCGCTTTTTAAACGCCAAACAGCCTCTTCCAGCTCTAACAGCTCATCAGATGATTTATAAACGGTGCAAAAAAAAAAAAAAAAAAACCACTCAATTGGCAGGAAAGAGAAAAACTGAGCTCCACCGATGTATTTGCAAATCTGACCTGAACAAAGCAACATATGTTCTCTACAAAGTAACAGAAAATAGGGAGGAAAATTGAGCTAGACCTTCCACAAAAAAGCAATAGTGCTGCTGGAGCTGCAGAGAAATCCCCTGCTCAGGAGCAAGGAGTCACTGTCAGCAGAAAGGACCTTCTCCAAGTGCACAAAGACCCCACTGTATCTTGTTCAAAAGGGATAATAGGAACATAACACCAAAACGAGCAATGGTACCATAAAACCACCAGAACGGTGACAATAAACAAACCCATCAGAAATTGGCTGTTTATGCCCATTTCTGTTGAACAGCACAACACGACAACAACGCAGAAGTCCTGCTTTATACAGGATTTGGGTTTGGAGTTGCCTGCTTTCAGTTCCCAATGTAAGCAGGGAATTTAAGCCCCCACGTCCTTAGAAATATCCCCGGTGATACATATCCCCCTTCTCAGCAGAAGATTTTTGCTGCGGATTTGAAAAGCTTGTTTTCAGATCCGGCAAAAACGTGGTCTCTGGATTCACCTCCCTCAAACAGCAGGCTCCAAAACTGGACACACCTCGGGGTCAGGAGCAGGAATTCATCCCTCCAACAGCCATCGGCAAAGTCCCGGAACCCGCCCAGCAACTGCTAATTCCCTTTAATTGCTGGGATGGGACCACCCCCTCGGCAGGGAGGGAGGGGCGGCAGGAATTGCAGCCAGCTGTGCCTGCCCTGCCCTCGGGGAACGCTCATCCCTGACCATCTGAAGTCCCAAAAGTACGAGCAGATCCTGCCCTCATCACATAGGTCTGTCCACACAGGATTTCAGATGGACTGACACACCTTGCAAAAGCAGTTCCATTAGGAGGAAAAAAAAAAAACCACTCTCCATAAACTGTAATACAAAAGAAAAATCAACACAGGCCCTAAATTTCTGACGCTGACCTTACCAAGCCAGGCTTTGTTTTCTTCTTCAGCACTTTCAAAACCCAGCCTTCAGTTTAGGCTTCAAAAACTGAATTACCGGTTGTTACAAACTATCTACAGCGTTTTCATCTTCTCCCTGATATTTCTAGGCAATTAATTGCATCTGAGCAGGACAGGAGAATCCAAGTTTGACAACGCTTACCAGAACAATATTGCTGTATTTTAACAGCACAGACACAGCAGGTGACTGATCTGGCAAATGTCTAAATGTCAAGCTCCCCTTCCCTTCTCACCAAGCCCCAAGTAAAGTGCAGGGCTTGAGGCTCCCAGGCCAAGACAGGGCCTTGAGGAGGTGGGAATGAACATGAGGAAGTCATGGAAGAACAGCGGGAAGGCCACAAGGACTGTGCCAAGATCTGAAAGTGTCTGATCTGAGCTGCATTTCTGGGCCTTGTACAAACCTCTCCTCCCTCTGACGACAAGAAGTACCACCAGAGGTGATGAGTTTAATTTGGGAATATTTGCCAAGTCACACTGAGAATCCTTCTATTACATGTTGTGCTTAAAAACGTGTCGCTTTGCTGCACATCGATACAGGAATAAGTGAAGTACAGAGCTTTTGTAAGTACCTAAGAAAGCCTCCAGATAAGGGAATTGCTCTGCTCCTCCTTCTCCTCCTCTTCCCGCTTGTCTGAGGCACTGGAGGAACGGTGCTGCCCTCACCCTGCCAATGTAAATCACAGCAATAAAAACACCAATTAAAACCAGAAAGGTACTTTGCTCAAGACAATCGTGCAGGACAATCCGTCTTCTAAGAGGCTGACTCGAACACTCCGCTTCTAAAAAGTACAGCCCAAATAAAATATGTAGGTTATTAAGCACCCAGCAAGTCACTTCACATAAATGTCCACGGAGTAATTCACTTCTGCTTTATGAAAAATGGAATGTTTTTAGAGCAGTCCTGGAAAGGGAACAAATCCTCAAAACCAGAAGAGGAAAATACTGCCTCCAGAGAAGCCATTAAAAAAATCATTCCTCTTTTTATTTATTTTAATTCTTCACCCAAGTTCAAGGCTTGAAATACAGCAAGATCAGCATGTTCAGCTCCTCAAATACTTCACTTTTCACTCTGCGGTGCTGGTGGAAATAAATGGACTTTTCCTCTCTTCCAGCTGAAGTTTGTGGTGCCTCTTTCAGTGACTATCAGCAACGTGAAGAGCAAAGACAAAAGGATGCAGGAGCTATACACGGCCATGCTGCACTCCAGCAGTGCTCCAGCATCCCAAAATCCAGCAATCCCAGGCAAAGAGACTCAGTGGCACCTGAGCACTTCTTTTGGGTAGCAGTGAGTTGCACTAATGTGGAATAGTCTGTTGTAGGAGTGTTCCATGGAATACACCCCACAAGCACTCAAGGCTGCACGGGGTGCTATCCCAACTGTCCTCGTTCAGGAAAGTACTGGGAAAGGAGCAAGTTTGAGCATTTCCAGCTGTCTGCACACATCCTGTCACTGCACTGGATATTCACCACTAGCAAGTCCTTTAGTTACTCACAAAAGCAACACCCACTTCAGTTCCATCTTCTGCAGTCCCACAACTGCCTCTCACGGTGTGTCTTTAAATGGAAATCAAAATCAAAATCAACAACACATCAGTCACAAGCAGAGTTTGTTGACACAGCTGACACAGTCCCTGCAGGAATTATTCCACTCCAGGGGTGCAAATATTGCCATTAGTATTTTTGCATGACACAGACCTGGAAGAAGCCCGCTAGTGACATTCCCTGTGCTCCTATTTCTCTCCTGATAAGGTCTTTCTCTGCCAGGTAAACCACAGTGCACCTCTCCAAAACCCCAAGGAACACCCTTCAACACTGGGAAAGGGAGACCAAGAGAAGGTAGGGGGAGAAAACCCACCTCTGTGACAGCCATGAATTAAATCAGCCCAGAGAGCTCCCTTTTAACAGAGGTACCCCAACCTCTGGTTTCTCTGGGAAGGAAATCTGCAGCCTCTGAAGCTAAAAGCAGGGATTTAGTGATAGGGATCAGAGATTACAGCTCTGAGGCATTCATAATTGCCCCAGCTGCCAGGGTGGGAAGCCTTTGCCTGCCACAAGCCACCCTCTGCCACCACAACCACCAGCTCAGGTGACACACCAGCCTCTCTCACTCCAGGAAATCGAGGAGTTCATCTCCAGTGAGCACAGAATCATGGAAGGGTTTGGGTTGGAAGGCACCTTAAAGTTCATCTTTCATCTCCCTGCCATGGGCAGGGACACCTTCCACTAGCCCAGGTTGCCCCAAGCCCCATCTAGCCTGGTCTTGGACACTTCCAGGGATGGGGTGTCACAGCCTTCACTCCATAATGTCCAGCTATGCCCAACACAGCTGGAAACACATGGCAGTGACAAGCAGTAGCACCTTCCCTAGGAAAGATATAAAGGCTTCACCTTGACACAAGTCACAAGAGAAATGAATCCTTCTCACACAGTGTAAAAATTGTCTTCCTGAACCTACTTGTGCTTTAAAGTGTTCAGGTGTAGTTTATTATAATTACATTTATTAAGCAGTCTAGACAAACTATATTTTCTTGAAATCAGGTGAACAAATTCAAAATGTGACTTGGATTTTTATAACGAACAAGCTGGTTTGGCTTTTTAATTTGCACAGACTTTGGAACCTTCACCTTGAAAAGGTTGGAAGCTCAGTGTCCCCAGAGCTCTCAGTGGTGTCAGGATCTCCCTGCACGAATACAAAGCTCACATCCCACAACACACGTGCTGAAAAGCACAGATAAGGCATTATCCACCTCACAATTTTTTGGAAGCTTAGAGCAGAAGGGCCTGGGTTATTATCCGATCTGCAAATAAAGCCAGGTCATTAATTTAGTAGCACATCACATCCTGCAGGCTGAATTTCAACACACAGCTCCAACAGAGGAACCATGTGAAGAAATACAGCAATTCCCTAGGATTTCTAATATACAGCCATGGGAAGACCTAACTGGATGTCCTGAACGTGGAAACAAGATCACCAACCACAAGACACAATAATCAATGATGCCAACAAACATTTCTGTAGAGTGGAGAATTACTTTAAATATTTCCTTGTATCCAACTACAAATGGACAGCATTAGAGCACTATTAATGTGTGAGGGGGATTACACAGGTAATGCAAACATCTACTTTAACCTCTTAAGCACATTGGGTGATATTAGCAAAGAAGTCTGACAGGAGGAATCACAAAAGGATTTTAAAGACTGGCAGCCACTCAATAAAATGGCCAAGGAAAGTTCCCTCTAGGCAGCGATATATGATGCTGGTAAATCAGCATTTAAAAATGATCACTTTTGCCCTGATGGGACCAAGACTTAAGCAGCACCCATTAGAAGTGAAGATATTTAAGGAGTAGTTCATTAAAACATCAGCTCAGCTGGACAGGCACAGAGAAGAGAACAACTAACAGCCTTCTATTCCATAAACCTGGTGCTCCTGTATCAAATATTATCTGTACCTCGGATTCTTCCCTCTCCTCCACTCTCATCCCACCTTGGCACTGAGTAAAGCCTGCAGGATGGACTGTCTCCCCAAAGCCCACGGGAGGTTCTTCCAGCAACAGATTTCCTTCCTTGGAGAGTTTCAAAACCCAAGGGAACCCTGAAAAACCTGCTGTTCCTTTGAGGTTCGCTGTGGGGTGAAGTCACAGCCCCACAAATGAAGTTTGAAGGATTTGGAGTGTTGCAGAGTGTTAGGCCATTTCCCATGAGAGCAGTGGAGCTATTAGATAGTTCCCATGGACACAGCCTTGAGCTGTGTGGCTGAGTGCAGGTGCCGCATTCCTGNGATGTCCTTGGCCTTCCCTGTGGGCCGGAGGCAAATCCCCTCCATGTCCTTCTTGCTTCCTGCCCCAGGCCCCGAGCTGAGGATGGAGAGCCCAGAGGACAAATCCCCCCTTGAGACCCTGGTGGGAGAGGCCGTTTTGAAGGGCTCCCCGGCGCAGGAAGGCAGCGGGGAGGAAAAGGGCCGGAGATCCCCCCGCAGGAGGGGCTCCAAAGCCATCCCAGGGTGCTCTGAGGAGGAAAGAGCCAGCCTGTGCCAGGATGGCGGCCGGAGCTTGAGGCGGAGCTCCAACCTGGTGGTCCCTGAGCAGCCTCCCAGCAGAGAGAAGCCCTTCAGGTGCTTGGAATGTGGTAAGAGCTTCAGGAAGAGCTCCACCCTCATCCGACACCAGCACATCCACAGTGGTGCACGGCCCTACCTGTGTGGGGAATGTGGGAAGAGCTTCAACCAGAGCTCCCACCTGATCAATCACCACCGCATCCACACTGCGGAACGGCCCTACATGTGTAATGATTGTGGGAAGAGCTTCAGTGTCAGCTCCAACCTGATCCAACACCATCGCATCCACAGCGGGGAACGGCCCTATATGTGTTGGGAATGTGGGAAGAGCTTCAACTACAGCTCCAGCCTCCGCACCCACCATCTCATCCACACTGGAGAACGGCGCTACAAGTGTGGAGAATGTGGGAAGAGGTTTCAGACCAGCTCAGATCTCCTGAAGCACGAGCGGATTCACACAGATGAGAGGCCCTTCCGCTGCACCGACTGCGGGAAGGGCTTCAAGCACAACTCCACCCTCGTCACCCACCGGCGCATCCACACGGGAGAGAGGCCGTACAAGTGTGGGGAGTGTGGGAAGAGCTTCACCCACAGCTCTACCTTGACCAGACACCAAAGGACCCACTGGTAAGGGAAGTCCTACCAGTTCCCCGACTGCGGGAAGAGCTTTGGCTGCTGCTTCCACCCCAAATGAAGCCTCTGATGTTGAGGCAACCTCTGGAGTCCAGTGACTGTCAGTCCATCCCTTTCGACCACAAAGTGCCAGTCCCCTTTCTCAGGGGCAGGTTTTTCTAACAGAAGCTTTCTTGGGAGGTGTGTGGAGATTCCTGCCTTGGCTGGGGACTCCCCAAGGCCACTGCTGGAGATTGAGAGCAGAGATGTCCCTACGAGCGTTGGTCTGGGGGAGTTCCATCCATCTCCAAATAAGAATTATTTGTGGGGTGAAGTCACAGCCCCACAACTGAAGTTTGAGGAGTTTGGAGTGTTGCGGGGTGTTGGGCCTTTTTCCATGGGAGCAGTGGAGCTGGTTGGATAGTTCCCATGGACACAGCCTTGAGCTGTGTGACTGAAGTGCAGGTGCGCATTCCTCGGTGTTTTGGTGGAAATATGTTTGTGTTGTGTGTGTGGGAAAGTAGAAGTGGGAGTACCTAATAAAAGACTGCCTGCTGCACTGAGCAGGCAGACATCTCTTTGTCTCACTACCCTCATGTGTCTTGTGTGTCGATTCTTCCCCCTTCGGCCCGAGACCTTTCGACAGGTACCCAGCGACAATGGTGCCCCTTGTGAACCAGAAGAAAAGAAAAAAGACTGTCGACTATTGCCTGGGTCGTAGGGGTATCGCGGCCGGAGGCAGGTGAGAGCTGCAGGGCGAGGTGCAGCAGGGTCTTGGTGCTCAGGAGCTGTATAGCAGCGGGGTGCGCTGCAGGACCCGGGTCCGATTTTCTCTACACCTGCATACAAGTGTTTCTGCCGCACTTGGAAGGTGCGAGTTGCCTGGGAGCCTGGGTGCCTTTGGCACTTGTCAGGCGCAGGTGGGCTCCTGAGAATTTTTCTAAGTCACCATGGGGCAGACCATGAGTGCAAACGACAGGCGTGTGTTTATCGCCTGGAAAGCTTTGTTACGGCGTTATGGTGTTAGACCAACGAAGCTAAGTTATGTCGCTTGTTACTTTTGTGTCTTCGGACTGAGAGGGAGGCTGCTTTGCCTGGGAGGACATTAGAGTACTGAAGAAGAGGGGCCGGGCGGAGCCGGAGGGAGCCGAAGTGGGATCGGAGGTTGCGGAGCGGGGCCGGGGGCAGCCGAACGACCCCGCCAAAATGGACGCACTGCTAGCGACTCGGCAGCATTTGTCCAAGATGATCAAGGACAGCTACGGCATGAATGTGCTGCTGATGGACCGGGAGACGATTTTGTGACCATAGTGGCTGAATTTCACCTTCAGGAGCTTTCTACGTCTCCTCCGGACGGTGCCGTGCCCGTGTCCCCGGCGCCGGGTGCCCGCGCAGCCGTGTCTGGTCCGCCCGCTGTGGGTGCCTGCGGAGCGGCGCCGGGTCCGGCTTCGGCGCCGCCGAGTCCATCTGTGCCGTGCGGGCAGCGGCGGCCGTGCTGCGGCCCCGCGGCCACGGCCCTGGGTGCCAGCAGACTGGGTGCAGCTGCCGGGCCCGGCTCGGAGCGGGACACCCACCCATGCGCCGGCGGCGGCCCCGGCGCGGCGGACGGCGGGGGGGTCTGTTTCCCCCGCGCTGCCGACAGCCATGGCCCCGAGCGGTGTTGCGAGGGGCAGCGGGCTGGTAGTGGCGGCCGCGGTGTCAGGCGGTGCAGTGGGGGGGCTGTCTGTGTTCTCCCCTGTTTTACACACACACCCCCCGAAACCCCCTTCCCTCCTCCCCGGAACGTGTCCATCTGCAGCTGTTCCTTCCCTCCTGTATATCGTTCTTTCTCAGCAGACCATGTAGATAATTTGCGACATAAGGAGAGCAAAGGCAATTTGACTTTTCTTTCTGATTTTTCTTCGAATGACCTCAACCTCTATTCCCCCTCCTCCCCCTCCCTCCCTCCCTCTCCCCTGTCCTCCGGCAAGTGCTAGTGAAAGCTCCCTTAAGGAAGCAACACTTGCTTCCAGGGGGGCCGAGTGCTCAAGAGAAACAGGATACACGGGGGGGGGGGCAGAGGGCGGGAAGAGGTGAAGAAGGGAGGACAAAATGCAGCAGTGGTTCTGTTGCCATTATGACAAATAGTGTCCTTGCTCTATGAAAAAGGTTGAAAATTTTCAAGGTAATATCCTGTCCATTCCCGTCGTCTTTGTCTTTTGCGTGGAGAGTTGTACAAGATTTACAAGTTAATATTAGCAAATATTCCTTAAAATTTCCTTTAAGTTACGAGACTGATTAACTATACAGTTAATAACAACTTACGATGTCTGTGTGAATGACGGATGACTGAGATGGCCACCTATGTATGACTGGAAAAAGATTGTGTGAAAGAGAAAAGCTACATGAATGTGTAACTGTGTAAACTTAAAGATACTTTCTGCCGGTGTCAAGATTTTAGAGATGTGTAACATGATTCTGTTGAACCATAGTGACTCCTTATTCTGAATGGTATATGAATTCTTCCAATTCCCACCATGAGTAATTCCACTGTTATGAAAACTGGTGAGGTTTTAGTTATTTCAAGACTAGCCCTGTCTGACTAGCCATATGATTAGGACTGAAGTTAAATAAGAGGTTCTTACACAAATTTGGTGTTCTATTTCAGCCTTGTTTCAGAGGTTTATAGAGGTTGGATCTCAGATGGAGCCTTTCCCCTGGTGCTGTTCTTTTTCATGTGTCATGCTGCCCATGGGCTGTAGCTGTGTGGGCTGTGCAGGAGGCAGAGTCGTTTAGGCTTTTCTTTGTTTTCCAGGGTTTAAATCAAGGGTTGTCCATGTTGCTGCCCTGCTTGATCAGCCTGTTGCGGGGGGGCCCTGCAAACTGTCAGGGCCATCCTGCGTTCTTTCTCGGAACCATCTACAGCGTTACAGATAGTGTGTCTCTAGGCCTCCTGATTGGAGACCAGAGTGCACCAGTTATGTTGATCAGTGTGGCCGGGGGTGCGATGTTGTTTCAGGGAGTCCTTGTGTCTTCTTTTCGGGGCTTCTTTCATGCGGCAGCTGGTGGCAATATTTGTCGTAAAACAGCTAGTCCCTCATCCTTGGGACGTGCCCTGCCTATGGCAGCTGTGTTTTCAGAAAAATGTCCTCAATGCTTGTGACTGCTGCTTGTTCTGTACCAGACGTATTGATCACATAATCTGACTGGTGGATGTTTAGCATTGTATGAAGGCAGCATGGGTTAAGTGCCTTGTTAATCAGCCATTCTAGTAGCACAATTGTGAGATTTTGGGATTTGTTGTTCATGTTGCAGTCATTGATGCTAACTGTACGAGGCAGATTTGTGCTATGGTCTCCACACCTTATCCTCCAGTGACAGTTCCTAAAGGGACACGAATAGCTCAATTTGTATCTTTTCTGAGTTGTGTTCCCCAAACAGAGCCTCGTGAGTGTCGGGATGGAGGATTTGGTTCTACTGACACACCACAAGTCTTTTGGTCAGTGCCAATCTCTGCACAACGTCCACAGCTGACCTGCACTCTCTACGATGCTTGAACCTTGCTGTCCGTTGTCCAGGTGGACGAACTTCTGCATTCGGGACCTGACGTAACTGTCATTGCACGGACATCCTGGCCGGCCTCCTGGCCTGTGGTCACGCCAGGGCTTTGGGTTGTGAGACTGGGAGGTACTGCTCAGAATTTTCTTTTAGAATATATAGATCCTGTGTGATTTCAGCAGTGGCTCATACCTACAGAACAGCTATTGGCTCTGCAACAGCTTGTTAAAGAGCGGCTTGATGTTGATCACATTGAACCATCTCAGAATCCTTTAATCACCCCTGTCTTTGTGATAAAGAGAAAATCTGTGACATGAAGACTATTGTATGATCTCAGACAGGTGGAGCGGTCATGGTTACCATGTCAGCATTGGTTTATTGACCCCTTCTATGCTTTCTGCTGAATAACCCATTGCTATTATTAATTTGACAGGTTGTTTTTTCACAATCCAGTTAGACCCCAGTTATAGAGAAGAAAAAATCACATTTTCAGTTCCATCTATTGATTGTGCAGAACCTTACAAGTGCTATACATAGAAAACCCTCTCCCAGGAAATGAAGATATTCCTATAATGTGTCAGTGGTTTATGATTCCAGCATTGTCTCCTGTAATTTTCTGGCTGTCTTTTGTTGTCATTATATAGGTAATATTTCTGCTGGCTGTGGCCACTGAGGATCAGTTGGGTGTGCTGGAAGCTGAAACCAGAAAGAGTCCACAATCCTTTGGCCTACTAGTTGCTCCTGAGAAGGTGCAGCGAGAGGAACCCTGGAAGTATTTAGGGTTCAAAAATTACACGGAAAGCAGTTATTCCTCAGCCAGTTCAATTGGATATTAATGTCAAAACTCTACCTGACATACAAAAGTTGTTAGGGTCTTTCAATTGGATTAGGTCCTATTTGGAAATGGCAAACACCCAGCTGGCGCCTCTTTTTGACCTACTCAAATATTCTGACAATCCTCAGGAACCAAGGGAACTGACTAAAAGAGCAGTTCAAATCATCCAGCAAGTAGAGCAGGTTTTATATTCTAAATTTGTTTCATGAATTGATCATTGCTAAATTGTCTAATTTTTTATTTTTACAGATCACAGTGTTCCTTTTGGAGCATTGGTACAGTGGTTTGACCATTGGTCTGATCTACTGCACATCATAGAGTGGCTATTTTTTTGCCTTATCGGGCTCAAAAACTGCTCCTGGATTGTTTGAGCTCATAGCTCAAATCATTATTGAGGTTAGAAAAAGGTGTGTAGAGTGTTCTGGCAGAAATCCAGCACGCATTGTTGTACCTGTACAATCTCGTTACTTTCAGTGGTGCCTTGGAAACAAATGTGAATTGCAAGCTGTTTTAGCTGGATTCCACGGCTAAATTTCTTATCATTTACCTTCACATTCCCTTCTTAAGATTTTTTTTTTAGGAAAATTCCAATTGGACAAAAACACTATGCAGCACAGAGCTCCTTGATGGCCTTACAGTCTTTGCAGACAGCTCGAGGAAGACAAGTGAAGCTGCGGTAGCGTGGAAACCAGAATGCGGATGACAACATCAACTTGGTCATCAAGAGGATTCTCCTCAAATTATGGAATGTCAAGCTGTAACTCTTGCTTTTCAGTTATTTCCTATTCGGTCTTTAAATGTTGTTACTGATTCTGCATATGTTGTTAATTTATTACAGCAACTTTATCAGGCGGTGTTGCATTGTCCATCTCCAGGTCTTATTTTTCAAGTTTTGTTTGAGCTCTAGAGAACTCTTTTGCAGAGGCCTGTTCCTTATTTTGTGCTACATGTTTGTAGTCATACCTGTTTGCCAGGTTTCTTCACAGAGGGTAATGTCCGAGCAGATGATTTTGTTTTTGCTGTCGCTTTGAGACTTGTTCCTAGCATTCACCAGCA